AAAGTCCTATGTATGCACTAAGAAAAGAAGAAAATACTGTGTTTCCAACATAATGTATTATCAATAATAAGAAAAGTGATGCTCTCTTGAAAATAGTAATAGTGAAAATAGTCTATATAAATATGCAATGAAGATTAAGATTGAAAATATAAATCATCAATATCGATATAAAATCAATTGGATGATAAAAGATTTATAAGTAAATATCTTTAAAAAAAGGTAAAATTTAATATGATGTGGTTGACATAGATACATATCACATCAAATGATGACACTAATAGATAAGAAATTCACAATAAAATTGAAAATGCATAAAGTATTAGTTAAAAGAAAGTGAGAGGTAGGATGAGTTTTGTCATGCCCCTTGACATGACAAGTATGTCCATCTACAATAGCAATAGAGTAAAGGTCAGAAAGTGTAGATAGGGGAGAGATGTACTTGAGATATGGGCTGACACACTTGAGTCAATAATTCAAGAGGTTAGATTTGAAATGAATAAAGGTGTAATACTTGAGGTACAAGTCGTAGCATGGGGGATGGCATAACTCATTCATGTAGCCTCCTTATAATTCATCTAAACATCAAATTCTGCTCAAGATAAAGACATGTTGGAGTTCTTAGATGACGTCGAGTCAGATGTGATTTAAGCCCAATATCGAGTTTGTTGAACTTGCCCCAGTACTTGTTTGACTAGTGGGTTGTATACTCGCAATGCTCACATCAAAGGAGATGGCCCTGACCACTTGAGCCAAGTCCTCTATTGCATCCACGGCCACGCCCATTATCTTGGCCACATTCCTTTCCCCTTTTGTTTGTAGTGACCATGGGAGAGGAGTTTGGGAAGATTATAGTGGAAGTAAGGGGAGTTTGATTAGCGGACACACAGATATACTTTGAAAAAGTGTCTATAAGGGAAGGCAGGACGTTGATAGTGAGAACTTGACCTCGAATTTGAGAGATGGTGAAGGCCAGAGATATTAACAATCATTGTCAACTCTTCATGGTATATAGCATGTGTGCCTAGATTAATGGTAAAAGGTTGATAAACCTTGAGTTCGTCCATGAGAGAATTAAACTTTGCATAGTAGTTTTGAATCGTTATCTTGCCTCACTTAAGTTTAAAGAGCTGTTTGTAGACTTATACTATAAGAGAGATGTTATTCTGGTTCTTACACATGCTCTAGAATTTCTTGAACTTATTTGGTTAGGTAATAAGAGTGAGTGAGGGACAATGGAAGAGGTGGTGCTCTTGCACATCTAAGAAATGACGGCCAAGTCTATCATGCACCATTCATGATTTTCTCTTTGGAGGATCCTCGGTGAGAGATGATAGCTTTCTGTGTAATCGGAGGAAGCGTTGGAAGCTTGCTGCCCATGATATGTAGTTTGTCTCATTAAATACTTTCAAGAAACTATTGAGTTGTGCCACGAAGGTATTTAAGGGAGGGGTAGAGGGTGTCGAGATAACAATGAGGAAAGACTAACCAGGTGGTAAACCCTAGTGTCCCCGATTGAGGAGATGTTGACGTCAATGCTCATTTGTGGTGGCGTGGGTCTTATAGTGCCATTGTGGTGAGGTGGCATGTCGGCGGCACTGGTGTGGGTGCTGCTGGCGGCATATGACGTGCAGGGAGTGCGCATCTCTACGTGTCTCGGGGGAGACGGGGGCTAGTAGGGGAGAGGCCGACATGCCCTAGGATGAGAGGGAGGCCGGCGTGCCCTAAAATAAGAGGGGGCTAGTGAGAGGGAGGCCAGCATGCCGTAAAATGAGAAGGGGCTGGCTCTAATACCATGTGAATCAGAAGAGGGTGTATCCAACATAGAGGAGGCATCTACCCTTTATAAATAGGGAGAGGCTAGAGAGAGAGAGAGAGAGAGAGAGAGAGAGAGAGAGAGAGAGAGATTTATATGTATATATAAATATATAAACACTAGGCCCATTTGGCGCATTAGACTCATACAGCCCACTCACAATCTATAAACTAAAATAAATGCAACTTCATGACAATTAGTCCCATATTCCTAAGATATATAATAAATGCAACTTCATGACAACTTCATGAAGAAAATGAAAAACTATCAAAGATTGACCAATACTCAAGAATATACATTTGGAGTACAATTTTTGTTGATATGATTCTTTTTACTGTAAACTTATCAAATTAATTTCATCATTGCACATATTAATAAATGCATAATGAATGCGCTTTCAATTAGAGTAAAGAGGTAATTATTTAATGTTGAATGTGATATATCAATTATTAAGGTGGGAGATGTTATCTTAAATTTTTTATCATGTTATTTTAATACTGAAAAAGTTTATGATGTTAGAATTTTAAGAAAGAAATAGACAAATATTGAGTTATAAACTTATGTTATACCTATTTTTTTGTATGCTTAAGAACACTTTCATTCAATGATAATTTATATTATTTACTAATCATCATGTATTCAAATATATCAACAATAAAAAAAGTGTGAATGAAATACATACAAGATGAGTTTTACTTAGTGGTTCATTTTTTCATCAAAGAAAAGTCAATAATATTAAATCAAGTTGCAGATGTACTAACTAAAAATGAGGACATCTAGGGTGTGAGCAAACCCTACAACTAGTACAAGAATGTTACTATTGGTCACAGTTGAAAAAGAATATGAAAAATCATATATGAGTCATTGAGATAACAAATAATAGTGTTAGAACACTATATTTATGAATTTTCTTTTGAAATTATCACAAACACAACAAGATGTAGGTTCTGTCTTTGTAGTTGTAGATCCTTTGTTTAAAATGACACATTTTATTATTTATAAAAATAAAAATATAATATAAATAGTCAACTTATTCTTTTCAAGAATTAATTTCTTTGCATCAGATTCTAGAGTCAATCATATCAAATAGAGATCTAAAGTTTTTTTTCATGCTTTATCTTTGAAAGAGGTTTGACACTTGAAGCTTAACAACATCAATCACCCTCAAATAAATGGTAAAACAAATGTGATAAATATTTCACTTGGCAATTTGATTCACTATATTTTAAGAAATATATCAAATTTTTATTTCAATTTTATAGTCTCAATTTATATTATTTACTATTTTATTTGAATTTTGTTTTCAATTTTTTGTTCATTTATCAAAACATAAGAGAATTGCACGTAAGAATATGAAAAAATACATCATAGCAGTCCATGAAAGTTTCTATAAAAATATTTCAGCCAACTACCACTATAAGAAGGCACTAAAAGGGGAGACAAAAAAAGACTTTTGAAAGTGATGATTTGGGTTATGATACACTTGTAAGAAAAAGGCTCTCAATTTATATCTATAATAAATTGATGTTGAAGAATCATGAGCAATTCAAAATTCTCCAAAAATTAATGGCAATGCATGACATATATTTAATGTATGAAATGGGTTTATCTTCAACCTTTATTGTGATGTATATTTATGACTTCTATGAAGCATCCCAAAAAGATTTAAAGGTGAGTTCTTTCCAAGCAAGGGAAACTGACATAGAAAAACACCAAGAAAAGCCTAAAACAAGTTCAAACACAAATAAAGTGTGTGAATAACACTTTAGAGTGTTATATTTTAGGTCATAAAGCATCTAATTTTTTAGATGCTTTTAATTTATTTCTTAAAAAATCCAAAACATTAATATTTAATAATAATTTTAATTTTATTTTATTCCATATACTACTATACCATTTTTAAGGGCATTTCAACTAATTTTTGACCAATTTAAAGGCCACAACATTATAACCGTAAAAAGATTATAAGTCGAAATGAGTCTTTCCTCTTGAAGGTTTCCTTCTCCATACTTGTGGATTGAAGCTCCCCCCTATGAATTCAATAGAATATTTGGTCCTTATGGGTTTGAGGGCTACCCAAACAGATTATTAAGAACTTAATGATTGAAGGTGCCATATTATAAAAATTCAAAACTTGGTTTCATTGTTGGAATTTGTGTTTATTGATTTTAGGGTGAAATGTCTATCTCATGCATCTCTTGTTACATCAACATTAGGGTTAGTCACCTCTTTTATTCAATACATCTAAGAATACAACTTTGAAGTAGAGGTCAACATTATTAAAGTAGGATTGCGTGATTTAGACAGCTTGAAAACTAGGGTTTTACTTTTTTCCATCTCCCTAAAACTAGGATTTCTGTAGGCACAAAGGTCAATTACATAAACTTAGGGTTTTGTGTGTTGAGGTTAAAAATCTCAATTAAACCACAAGTACAATCTAAATACAATAAAGATCAACTACGTAAAATTAGTGCTATTAAGCCTTCATAAGTATTATAATTAGGGTTGAGCTAAGCCATTTCTAGCTTTAGAGATATGAACGTAGCCATCCTAATTACCCTTCATTTTATTTCAACAAATGTAGAATGAGAGAGACCAAGAGAGTGAGAGAGAGAGGGAGAGAGAGAGGGAGAGAGAGAGAGAGAGAGGGAGAGAGAGAGAGAGAGGGAGAGAGAGAGAGAGAGAGAGAGAGAGAGAGAGAGAGAGAGAGAGAGAGAGATCCTTTTACGGTCAACCATTTAAGATCCTTTTACGGTCATGGTGGGCTTATCCTAATAGAAGTGGCAAATGACGATGTAAAAGCCCATCTTTAACTGGCCCACAATGTACGTTCATGGTAGATGCGACAAGGGGAAAGCCCATCTTTATTACTTGGCCGCGTGGGTTCATTGGGTCCGGTTTGGCCCGAAATATATTTTCTCCAAATTAGTACTTTAAAAAATGATATATATATAGTATTGAAAAAGTCCGAGTTAACCGAATCTAACCGCCGCCCCTGGACGGCAACGGCCGACCCTGAAAGGTAGGCGCGGGGGGCAGAGATGGGCCCCACGTTTGAAAACCATCTCCTTCCTTCCTTCCTTCCTTCCCTTGCCCTCTCTACCAGAAGCTCCTCCCATCCCGTCGCCGGAGTTTTCCTCTCTCCGCCGCTCCGGCGGGACCGCCAGGAAGAGGATTGGCCCCTCCGATGGGCTGCGGCTACTCGAAGCTGGAGCCCGACGAGGAGCGGGGAGACGGCCTCCCGCCGAGCCGGCTCCGCAGTGAGGATCCGGGCGGCGCCACCCGCCGGCGAGCTCCCTCCGCCGCCCCCGCCACCTCCGGGATCCTCGTCCCCCAGGAGGAGGAGGACGCGGAGTCCTTTACGGCGGAGGAGGAGATCTCCCACGGCGCCGGCGTTTGTCCGCCTCCGGCGGAGTCCAGAAGGCCCCCCCGCTGTCCTCCTCCGATGATGATGAGGAGCAGAGAATCCGGCGGCGCCGGGTCGGAGGAGAAGGACGAGGGAGAAGGAGAGGAGGGAGGAGGGAAGAGGAGATCAGTTGCAGAGGAGAGAGGGGAGAGGAAGAGGAAGGACTCCGCAGAGAGAGAGGAGGGGGAGGGGGTGAGTAGATCCGCATCCTTGCTCAGCCATGAGGATGGGGACCTCCCCGGATCGCCGAGCTTCAGATTCTACTTCACCGCCGTCCCCATCCGCGACTCCGCCGACGACGAGGAATATCTCATCCCCGGTATGTCCCTCTGCAACTCCCTCAGTTAGAGATCGAGAGATCGATAGAGAAAGAAGCAGTGAAGGTTCACCATGGCTCTTCTGGTGGCGCCGCAGCAGAGAAGACGAGCAGGAAGGAGATGCACAGCCGACTGGGGAGAAAGGACAGCACCGACTCTCGGGCCTCCGAGGTGCGGATTCTCTTCCTACTCCTCCATTGCTGAGCTCCTCCTCCTAGTTGCTGGAGATTCTAGGGTTTGCCGTGCTGCATCAGGAGGGTGATGGGAGAGCTCCGAAGAGATTCAGAGGTCGGGGGCTCAAGGTGTTGACGAAGGGGACGGGCTCCGTCTACGCTCTCTTCAAGGTCAGGTCCTCCTACGGCGGCGGCGGGGCCAACAACTCCTCCTCCCTGGTTCCCGAGAAGGTGGCGTAGAGTAGCGGCGATAACCTCGCTAAAGCTCGAAGTTTTACTTGCTGTCTCGTCTTCATGCTCTCACAGACGAGACCTCCGTCGTTGACTTTCTGCTACCTATAAATAGACTTTCTATTGGTCAAATTATGATGGTCAGCACTGTAAAATTGGCCTTGGCCTCGTGAACCCTTCTCTTTCCTTTTTTTCTTTTTTTGGAAGGTTTGGGCCTCAAATCCAAGGCTAGAATGCTCGATCTGGACACCACATGCTCCACCTTTGAGATCAAGCATACTGAACCCAGTGTTCATGGCAAGGGAGGGTATGTCCCTCCCTTAGTTGGAGATATCTATCTTCTTAGGTGAGGACCTCATCTAGTGGCTATACCAAGTTGAGTTCTAATTCATAATGAACCACACTTCAGGAGACCACCAAACCACCCAGACAACCATGATCAAAGCTGATGCACTCTTGTGGTATGTGTGGAGAGTTGACCAATGGCCTATTCTTGACTAACTAGATTTTTGAACTCAACTCTTGACTTATTTTGATAACCCTAGTTTTGGGAACATCTACTATAAACTTTTCAATATCAAGCAACATGGCACAATGGCTGAATTTCATTGCAAGGTTGTGGTGATTGACGCATTCCTGCTAAGACAAGCACTCGTACTATAATGGGTTGTGCTCAATGGTTTGAAGGCAAAAATTGTTACAAAAATCAAGATGTTCAAGGGAACTAGATTGAAGGAAACACTAGAATTAGCCCATACGACAAAGAGTCAGCTTGTATGCTGATGGTTGGCATGGAACTCAAAGCCAATTAAATCACTGCAACCTACTCCTTTCAAGTGAGAAGGTAGAAAAATTGATCAACCTCCTAGCCACCAAATGGAAACTCCCAATGCAAATATCCTTCCAACAACCAGACTTTCTCTAACCATAGGGCAACAAAGGGTTAGGGCACTGATAGTAACAACATGAGATGATTGAAACTTACTGATATGCAATTGCAAAATCCCATGTCAAGAGGGCTGTGATGAGAAATTTAACCATGCCATCACTACAAGCAAGGCTTTCAACTACTAGTGGTACATGAAGATGACTTAGAACATGACACTTCAAAATAAGCAAGTTGTGAACTAGTGGAAGTAGCACCTGCTAGAACCATTGAGATAGTCTCCTTATCACAAATTGAGGTCCCTCTCTCCATAAATTCAAGCTAGGATAATTAGCCCTTAGCATGCTCAAGATGAGAGATACTGTACACAACAAAGAAGTTGCCCAAGAACTTGATCTACTTGTGGATGAGACCTTGAGGTATACTATCACCTTAGGAGATAGGTCAACAATTCATGGTTGTGGCATATGTTTGAGGGTCAATATGGAGATGCAAAGGCCGTGAATAATAGAGCATTTCCTATTGTTAGAAGGCTACTGCCAATACTTGATACTTGACATCCAATGGCTATAGACACTTGGGTATACCATGATTCATTGGGAGCTATTAGTGGTACATTTTCATGTGAGCGACTAGACCATCACATTATAGGGAAATCAAAGATTACTTAAGATAGGAATTTCATTGAAGGTGGTGACCATCAAAGAGAAATATGTGGAAGTCAAGGATATGCCTAAGCCCTAGCTCGATGAGTTCATCAACAATACAAAGGAGGAACAAGACCCAACATGAGAGCTTACCCTTCAGTGAAAATTTTTGACTTATTTTCAAATCGCTGCAAAATACACCATCCCCATGAGATGTGGATCACACCATCCACCTCAAAACTACATATGGAGTCCATCAACATCTGCCCCTTTTGTTATCCTCACTCACAAAAAGATGCTATGGCTTGGTAATTGTGCCCATCTTTCTCGAACTTGTAACAAATAAGGATTGGGATTCAAACTAACCCCAAGTTGTCCCATATCATGAAGAACATGAACAAAGGCTTGGTAATTGTGCCTCATTATTCGATAGTCCAAGGGTTGGTGTGTTATAAGGATACGGTGGTCTTAACATCAGAATCCACTCTCATTCCCAAACTTTTAGAAGAATGTTATGGAGGGGCAGTGGGTGAACACTCTAGATTCATCTATACTTATAAGAGAGTCACTAGACAACTATTTTAGCTGGGAGTGAAGAAGAGGACTAGAGAATTCATTACAAACTATCTAATTTGTCAACAATACAAGTAGATTCTCTAGCACTAGTAGACCTTTAGCTTTTACCTATTCCCAATAGAGTCCAACATGAGATAACAATGAATTTTCTAGGATTGTCAAATTCCTATGGTAAAATGATATATTTGTGGTTGTAGATCGACTAACAAAATATGCTCACTTTGTCTCAATGCGGCACCCATTTTCAATAACAAACATTGTTGACATCTTTGTTAAAGAGGTAATCCAACTTCATGGGATTCCTAAGACTATTATCTATGATAGGTCTCTTCCTAAGACTTCATGGTAGGTCTCTTCCTCAAAAAATTTTGGCAAAAAGTTCATTCATTAGAAGGCACTAAACTCAAATATATTAGGTCACTTAATATGGGAGAACATATTAGGTCACTCATAAGTGAACTAGACAGGTGGAAAAGGATATTAAGACATTGTGGACCTTGGGGTGCCTCGAAGCTATGTGTTAAAGTTTATCTGTTATATCTGTTCTTACTCCCCTCTTAGGCTTCCCCTATTCTTGTCAAATTCTGCTCTCCATTTTCAAAACATTGGATAACTAAACTTGGTCTACTTCCCTATTCCATGGTTTTGGTACCTTACAAAATCCTTTATATGATTTATTGAAACTAATCATTTTAAGCTAGATATTTTTGAAAAAAGAAAGTTATCAAATACATAAGTCAAATAATTAAAAATACAAGCTACAAATATCACTAATAGGTGAAGAAATATTACAAACAATCAGAGGTGTAAAGGACATAAATGTAAATTAAACAACTTCCTAATCACAATCACTCTTGCAAATGACTACTACTCCATCCTTCTCATGAAGTCATAATGAGCACTACAATCTTCATTGAAGAAATTGATTATCAAAGGAAAAAAAAGATAAAAGGAACATAAAATAATGAGAAAAATTAACCTTTCACATGAGTTTCACAAGTCAAATGTGGGAACTGTAGATGAATAGCCATCCATTGCTTGATAAAGGAGCCTAGGAAATATATTCCTATAAGGATCTTTCTCCCTCTTATCCTTCAAATAGGCAACACAGTTTTCAATTTCACACCACATGACAATACAATTTTTGTGCCTTGTTTTTGTCCCTTAGTTCATCCTCCCTCCCTACCAAAAATGAAAAATTATAATCACAAAATTCTGATGATGAATGCATTCAAAACCCATTTTAAAAATAAATACAACAAGAAAATTGAGTAGAAAAACTAAAAAAAATAGCAAAAAGTAAACACCAAGAATATTTGAATATGGACACTTGAATTTTGACCAGAATTATCTCAAATTGAACTATAGCCTATTCTCAAATGTATGAAACAGATTTTAAAAAATGGGAAAAAAATTGGGGCATCGAGAACTACCTCTTGTTCTAATTGGCCTTCCAAACAAGAAATAAAACCTTCCTGGGATTTTTGGCAACAAAATTGGGATGTGAATTTCTTGGTCCCCGAGCTCTCTTGGAGAATCAGCCCTATTAGTAGCATGCCAACATGAGGAGCTTGTTAGGGAAATGAAAAATCTTTCAATAGCATCATGATTGGACATCCGTAAGAATGGCTACCAATGCTATGCAATTATTTAGATAGGTAATCACAGAATTTTTAGTAAGAATTAGAAAAGAAAGATTGAATTGATTGGTTACAAGGAGAAAAACCCCTAAATACGAGGGCAAAACAAATAACAGGCAATAATGAACCATTCGAAAGTCTAGTTCATATGGAAACAAAATCAAAGGCCAAATGAAGGTTCACATTTTTCTAACCTTTACTCTCCCCTTGTTTCTGGCGAGCCCTAAATGTACAGTAGCAATCAGATTTTCCCCCATACTGATACACACTATTCAAAACTTCAAGAACAAAAGATTTTCATTCAGATTTTCCTTACGTTTCTAGCCAGATTTTGGCATCGGGAATAGGAAATGAAATCCGTGTGGACTTGTCCAGAAGAAAATGGATGGGGTAGGGGTTCACAGCAGTTAAGAAGATTCCTACATCGGTGATTACAAAAATAAAGAATAAACCTGCGATTATTAGGGTGAGCTGGCTCCTTACATTAATACTGAGTTCAATGGCCTGATTACTATAACACCAACTATCACTACGTCAATTTCATCTGCAGTCCTCTGCAAGAAGCTCTCGTTGGCCAGAAATTCAGCCCAAGATTGAGGTAGACTTCCAAGAGGTGTCCAAAAGAGGCTATAGAATAAAATGAAGAGACATCACTGAAGATTCACTGGATGGAAGAAAATGTAAAGTAGGTTAGAAGAGGGAAAGCAATGACAAACGCAAAAGGATCAGGATGTGATAGATGAAACAGAGATGAGGGGCAGAGATGGTAAGAAACAGAAATGGGGCAGAAAAGGTCAAACGAAAATATATTTCATTTCTCAGGTAAAGAAGCAAAGATTCTGCTGACTTGGTTAAGGATGATGAAAATTTTCAGAGCATTAGATCCCGTTGTGATAACCGGTTTTAGGAAAACAATGTACTTGAATATTTGTCAGAGAGAGAGAGAGAGGTCATTTCTTTTCAAAAGAAAAAGACTGATAAGCTCTCCAAGACCAGTCGACACTCCCCACGGATGGAACAGTCTGATTTCCCTCCGTAATAACAATTTTAAAAGGCACGAAGAATTTAGAAGTTTTGAAAACTGGAGTAGCCTTTCTAGATAAATCAGCAGTTCAAGAAATCCTCATACGTAACGTAGAAACAATTAGAGAGAAAAGGTTGTGGCCGAGTCAGATCCCAGTCTGGATAGATTATGTCTTCTAAATGAGCAGGTCCTAATGGAAAAGATCGTTTATTTAAAAAAAACTCAAAAAATTGAGAGGTCACCTTAATCATTTTTTTTTGAATGTGAAGATTAACTTGATTACCACCAAAGAAACTTAAAAGAATATCAAAGAGAAAAGACAACCTAGCAAGTATCAACGTCTCGACTCTAACAGAATGAACTCGAGAATTTGCATATAAGGATGCGGATCTGAGCAGCTTCAGTCTCCATTTAAGAGAATCCCTTGTTAAAATATCGACCAAGAACTGAAAAAAAACCAACTAATTCAATCAGAAAAAAGGAAAATTTACGTACGTTTAAACAAAAGCATAAGTTTTGATTAATGACCCTGATCTCTGTAAAGAATTCCAGCCATAATCCAAACTAAGGTAATGGAGAAAACATAAAGGAGGCGCATAAGTTTTGGCTATGTGGTCTCAAACAGATTATACCAGGTGAAAAATGGTGGTTCACAATTAAATAGAGAGCCAAAAACTCGATGAGTAAGTAATTACGGGTTATGAGTGGCTGGTAATCCGTCTTAGGAGATTACTTCAACTTCCTATTCTTAGAAAAATAAATAAGAATAGGATACAAAAATGTGCAAGAGCACACGAAACATGATACTGGCATGGACTTTTCAGCTTTCTTTCCGCACTTAATAGGAAAAAGGATTCCGTAATACCTTTCTTTTTCATTTTTTATTTTTCAATTTTAGGTGGTGGGGAGAGAGACACTGGCAAGATTGTAAATCAACTCCCACTACTGGAAAATTAGACAGAAGATTTAGCAACGAGGAATTTCTCAACCTTTTAGGAGATAGAGCAAGCTATATTTTCCTCATTCAACAGACATGAGGGAACTTTCTTTTTATTTTCCATATGTCCACCAAATGATTTCATGAAATAAAAGGAAAACAGTAAACATTTCAGGGACCATTTGAAACATTCCAACTTAAAATGAGAAAAATATGGAAATAATTCGAGAACAACCAACCATGTATGCAGGCTAGAAAATACAAATCAACAAAACACAATGCATGATTCATCCAGAAGCTAAGCTTCCGCCATGCGTAGAATAATTAAACTCAAGAATACTAGAAAGAATACAGTGATATTTGACGAGGTGTACTTCTTCATAAATGCATTTCTGCTCTTCGCCCACCAAAGTTCGCAGGGCATAGTTATCAAAGTGACTTTTAAGGAAGTGTTTACCGGATGTAAAATGGAACCAGCTGAATCACTCAATCAAACGTTTAATCAAATATTGGTCACAACATTCCTAATTAAAATTCTGTATTTTTCGCTGAAATAAGTTTAGCCCAGGTCAGCGCTGACACGGATTTCAAAAAGAAAAATTATACTGACTCTTCTTCCTCGCTTATTTTAACATTTGTAGTGTTTTTTATAATACGCACGTTCTTCACGCCCCATTAAACTAAAGGGAACCGGTGACTTCTCCGCCTTGATCCTTACTATCGGCGCTCCCGGCAGACGGGACGTGGCCCTTCCTGCACTCCGCCATTCGCGCTTCGGCTTCTGGCGAACCGCCAGCGAGGCCCAGCGTGCAGGTGGATACCACGCCGCCGCAATGGTCGCCATCTCTGGCGGCGCGCAAGGAAGAGAGGTTGGTACGTACGACTTTGGACGGGATCAACTGCCTCCGAAGCCGGGTGGGCTTATACTACAAGGTTGACAATGGAAAACCAGATCTTTCTGCGTTGCAAGTGGAGAGCTTGAACATGGAGCTCCATAATCCGCACGTTTAACAGACACCTTGTAACAATTTACTCTCTCTCCTCTCTCCTTTTTCCGTACACAGAACCGACATTAAAATGGAAGGAGAGAGAGAGAGGGAGAGAAAGATGAAGAAAAGTCAAGATAGAAATAAGCGGGAGCCTATTGAGGTCGAGAGAGAGAGAGAGGATAGCTAGTCAAATTAGGGCATCTTTCCAGGAGTAGATTCTACTCGTCATTGGCTCACACCTCACATCATTTGTTGAAATGGCCAGCCTACGCCAGCCTCTTTTATATCCAATATAAAAAAATACTCTCTCTCTCTCTCTCTCTCTCTCTCTCTCTCTCTCTCTCTCTCCGAGTGATAGTATTTGAAAGTTTTAACGTTAGAGTTTTTTTCTACTACATGAGATCCTTATCTCTCATCTATTTCAACTCATTTTCTCTCAATTTTCAATTGATTTTTTTTCAAAGTGATATCGGAGCACTATGTTTGTCGTTTTGTGGTGTAACAAGAGATATGCAAGGATCATTAATACCGTTTATTTTGATATTAAAATGGAAAATTTATTGATAAGTTATTATCAAAATATTGATTTTATTAATGGATATCATTTAGCTATTCAAAATATTTGGTATATTTAATAAATTAATTATATTGTTTTTCTTTGTTAAATAATTATGGCTTCATTACTAAAGAGTAAAATCTAATACATTAATGTTTTACATTTATTGATTTTCTAACTTGGGAATATTTAAAACTACAATA